TGACCTGTGAACCAGGAGGTCATGGTTTAATTCCTGGTCAGGGCACATGCCTGGGCTGCAGGCTCAATCCCCAGTGTGAAGCATGTAGGAGGCAGCTGATCAATGATTCTCTCTCATCATTGATATTTCTATCTCTCTCTCCTTCTCCCTTCCTCTCTAAAATGAATAAAAATAGATTTTTAAAAAAATGATTTGTTTATTTTATCATAATTTTTAAAAATTATGGAGATTCTCAGGTACACCACCCCAGAAACAAGAAATAAAGTGGAATGGAGGACAGGAAGTTGCATTTAAAATAGCACATAATAGTAGAAGGTATGTTCAGTTTTAAAAAAATTAGAATGTAATTTTTAGAGCATATTTGAAGTCCTCATAGATCCAGGATCTTTGGTAGCCTCTAAAAGGTCATTATAAGGACATGAAAATCTAATTTTTTTCTTCTAATTTATGTGAAGATGGATCAAACCTGTTAAAACACACTCATTAGAATTGACATTAATCTGTACCAAGTAATGTAAACTACTTCTAAGAAAAATATTATTTTTAAAGGACAAAAGAGGATATTTTCATCATGGTGTATATTTAATCTTTTAAGATATTGAAATAGCCTAAATAAATAAACAAAAATTTAAAAAATAGAGAGGAATTATAAACTGTTCCCCCCTATAATATCCAATCATTTTTAAAAATATGTATTTTTTTATTTCAGAGAGGAAGGTAGAGATAGAAACATCAATTATGAGAATCATTGATGGGCTGCCTCCCACACACCCCCTACTGGGGGTCAAGCCTGCAACCCCAGGAAGTGTCCTTGACCAGAATCAAACCTAGGACCTTTCAGTCCACAGGCCGATGCTCTATCCACTGAGCCAAACTGGCTAAGGCATATCCAATAATTTTTAAAGGCCAGCCTCAAGGCTGTCTCATATCAAGATTTCCTTGCCCAGGCCAGGTAGCTCAGTTGGTTAGATCATCCTCACAATATGCCAAAGTGGTAGGGTCTATCCCCAGTTAGGGCACATACAGGAATCAACCAATGAATGCGTAAGTGGAAAAACAAATCAATGCTTCTCTTTCTTGCTCTCTCCTTCCTTTCCTCTCTCTCAAATCAATAAAAATAACTTTTTAAAAAAGACTTCCTTTGTTTCCCAGATGTTCCTCATCTAATGTACTCTTGTTCAAAATTTCTTTAATGGGCAATCTTGTTGTACTCTATTTAAAAATTAAGATTAAGCACTAGCCGAAACTGGTTTGGCTCAGTGGATAGAGCGTCGGCCTGTGGACTGAAAGGTCCCAGGTTCGATTCCGGTCAAGGGCATGTACCTGGGTTGCAGGCACATCCCCAGTAGGAGATGTGCAGGAGGCAGCTGATCGATGTTTCTCTCTCATCGATGTTTCTAACTATCTCTATCCCTTCCTCTCTGTAAAAGAATCAATAAAATATATTTAAAAAAAAAAAAAGATTAAGCCCTAGCCGGTTTGGCTCAGATAGAGCATCTAATATTCCTACTGCATAGAGGAGTGGTTCTCAACCTGTGGGTCGAGACCCCTTTGGGGGTCGAACAACCCTTTCACGGGAGTCGCCTAAGACCATCGGAAAACACATATATAATTACATACTGTTTTTGTGATTAATCACTATGCTTTAATTATGTTCAATTTGTAACAATGAAATTGAGGGTCACCACAACATGAGGAACTGTATTAAAGGGTCTCGGCATTAGGAAGGTTGAGAACCACTGGCATAGAGCATCAGCCTGCAGACTGAAAGGTCCTGGGTTCAATTTTGGTAAAGGGCATATACCCGGTAGGGGGCGTGCAGGAGGCAGCCGATCAATGATTCTCTCTCATCATTGATGTTTTTATCTCTCTTTCCCTCTCTGAAATAAAAATATATTTAAAAATACATAAAAATTAAGATTACAATGGAAAGAACCCTGGAAAAGGTAACATACTAACCAGTTCACACAAAATTTATCAATTATGTATCAGATCCTTTCCAGAAAATAAGTTTTAATTCCCTTCTCTTTTTAGTATCCTCATTTTCCCCCAGCACTTGGCCCCATCAAAATATGAGAATGAATATGGGATAAATTTCCTAAACACAAATAGTCTACTACAAATTTTGGTAGGGTGAACTTGGTTAAGATATAAACCTGATATGTGATTCTCCAAAATTATATTTTCAATGTTTTAATAGTGAAAGATGGCAGATTACCACCTTAATAAAAATTTTAAAAACTCCAAAAGAATTTTACTCATCATTAGTTTACATTGCTAGAGAAACCAGAGGTGTTGATTGGTTGTTTTGTTTGTTTGTTTATAATATTTTTAAAAATATGTCTTGATTGATTTTAGAGAGAGGGAAAGGGAGAGGTTGAAACATTAATGAGAGAGAAACGTGGATCGGCTGCCTCCTGCACACCCTGTACCGGGGAATGAGCCAGCAACTCGGGCATGTGCCTTGATTGGGAATTCAACTGGAGACCTCTTGGTGCATGGGTCAATGCTCAACCACTGAGACACACCAGCCAGGCTATAACTTAAATTTAGGTCTTTAAGATAACTTGTTATGTAAAATTATTTATTTATCTAAGATGCACCTACACTGAATTTATCTGAAAAATAAAAAAGTCGATATTAAGAAAAAAATTGTAAATGTAAGATTATAAGAGAGGGTTTCGCGTGCCAGCAAAAGTTACTGGCGTGCCTTGTTTGGCACGCGTGCCAGGGGTTGCCCACCCCTGTCATAAACTGTCTGATTGTGATACTTGCTAGAGATGAGAGAAATTTTTTATGAGTTCCTTTTAATAGAGGTTCCTAACCATTCAACTTTAAAAAGTATGAAGCTGATATTTTTCAAAAGCTCTGTATTCTGATAGGGACAATCAAGACATCTACTCTGTGCCCAACACTGCAGATACTGAGAGAAATCTGAAAGGTTAAATATGCTTCTTGCCCTGGACCATTCTCCAATCTTGTTAATCAAGATGTGTATGCTGAAATTAGGTAGCATCTATCTATACAAATAGTAAGGTACTTGATAAATGCCATTGATGGTCAGAGAAAAAATATATCAAGATAATCTGAAATATATGTCCAGTAAAGAAGGTGGGATTTGAGTTAGGCCTCCAGGTACATAGAATGTGGTTAGGTAGAGAAGAGGAAAGAGAGCATTTCAGGTGAGATAGACAAATATAGCACAAGCTGGTAAAAATTCTTTGATAGGTGATATAAATTATCAAAATGGTCACTGAAGTAACCAACCTTATCAAAAGACCCAATATTGGTGTTTGTCAAGATTTGTTTTCAGAAACAGGAAGAACTTTTTTTCTCGCAAGTAGTGAGGATGGACTTGTGTGTTCATGCAGTTATGTAACCTGGGACAGACTAAAGATAACAACAGGCCTACTGTGAGCTGGAAACTGATCCTAAATTGTATCTTATCTCTGAGCAGTAACCAACAGAGAAATTACAAAGGAAGTTCCTTTAAGGGAAGTGAGGCCAGGTTTTATAACCACCAGGGGGAGAGAGCACATAAAAAAAGGGCTAACCCATTAGCAATCTACTAAATCTTAGGAAGAGCAATTGCCCACCAAACTCAGGCCCCTAGGGTCACAGCTTCTTAGTATGTATTTTATGAAACAACATGTAGAGCTTCTTCCAATAAGCTAAGTAATGAACTCCCACTTAAACACCATTCTAATTTATAACCTGCTTCCTCCTTCCAAGAAGACATTTATTATATGTATAAAAGGTTTAAAGTAATTGCAAAATACCCAATTTTTTTTAAAAAAGGGTAAATATCTGGCAGTTGCATTACTGTTCTCTTAGATCACTCATCCTTTCAGAGGTACCCCAACATCGGACCCCTGGATTCCCTGGTTTCAACTTGCCCTTAACAGTCCTCCCTCCCCGCTTCCCTCGCCTTCACTCCCTTTCCACAGCCAACTCTGTCCCCACCCGTCTGACACAGTTACTTTGGAGGCAGCACCCATTGCCTTGGCCGCCAGCCCGAAGGCCAGCCAGATGCCCTCCTGACTGTGACCTCTAGACGTTGCTCTCCTGGGCCAGATAAAGATTTGTTTGTTCTTCACATGGAGAGAATGTGTGAAAAACCAGATGCTCTTATTACTGTGACATAATTTCAATAAGCACTATGTTCCAGACCCAACTACTAAAATGCTGAACATTAATTGGTTCGTGTAATCTTCATAAAAAACCCCGCGAAGCGGGTTCTAATACTACCGCCGCGTCCCAGGTGAGGACGCTGAGGCACAGCGAAGGGTCTCAGCTCATCCACGAGGGAACGTGGTTTGCGCCCGGCTGGGCAGGGCCCCGCGGGCACTTTCCCTCGCCGGCGCTCGGACGGTGCTGAGCGGCTGTGGGATGCGGGCCGCGTGGGGGCCGGCGCGCACCCACAGGGCCGGACGCACAGACAGACTTTCTACCTGGCCACCGCTCGCGTGGGGCATGGCCGGCGTTCTCCTTGAGGCGGGGCCCGCACCTTTTCCTCGTGCGCAGGCGGCTGGTTACTCGCGGCCCCGGCAGGCACGTGACTGGCGGTGTGGGCGCGCGGGGGCCGCGGTGGGGCGGGCCAGTCCTCCGTCGGGGGCGGGGCCTGGTCGGAGCCCCGCCCCGTCCCGGACCAGTTAACTGGCAGCCGCGGGCTCCTACTTCACGGCGCAGCGGACTAAGGAGGTGGTGTTCCCGTAGCCACGGCCATGGCCACGGTGCGGGAGAAGGCGGCGGCGCTGAACCTCTCCGCTCTCCCCCGCCCGGCGCAGAGGCCTCCCGGTAGGTGCTGAGGACCCTGTCCCGGGAGGGGAAGGGTCACCGGGCGGGCAGGTGAGCTGAGGCTACTGTTCTCGCGCGGGATACACTTTCTGGATAAGGAATATTTCAATGAATACAGGTTTTTGACTTTTTTTTTTTTAATGGTTGCATGACATTAGGAAAGACGCTGGTGAATTCTGCCACCAGTTTAATCATATCTTTGGGGGCACTATGCTTAGTATCCTAGTTTCTTTAAATGTCCAAATAAACGGAATCGGGTGATCAGTTACAAAATTTCCATTTTAGCATATCTATAACTCAGAAAATATAGTTAAGATATCCAGATAACACTTGGCTTTTTTTCCCCCCTTTTAGATAAGTTGCAACTTTTCCCCCTTTCTGTAGCTGCAGTGTGGGGTTAGGTGAATTGGTTCCTATCTGACAAAAAGCTTTTCCTTTGTAAAATGCTAACCAGGTGTCAGTGGTCAGTGAATTGACTTGGGTCAAATGGGTGCATCTCAGTGGCCCCAGTCTTGTGTTTGACTTATAATTAGTAATGTTCCTTTTAATCTTCAAAAGTTAATGACAAATTGTGACTAAGAACTGCTTTTCTTCTGTACTTTTCTAAGAACAATCATAATATTGACCTATTCTGATCCAATTTAAAGGATTCAGAAAAGCACATGATATCTACATTCAGAATTTTTTTCTTGTTTTACATTATGAAGGAAAATACTTTTCATCATTTGAGAATTTAAAATCAAATGATACTGGAAATAGTCATGAGAAATCTTTAGGCTCACTTTCTGAGTGAAAGAAATTCCCAAATTTTACATAATTAAAAATATGGCATCCTATTTTCTCCAACAACTGAAATACCAATTCTAAGCTTGGGGCATTTGTGAACAGATTCTTAGAGGGTGGGAGGGAATATGTGTTCAAAATTAAGTAGAGGACTTTCAGAAAGAAGAGTTGAAGTTCTGCTTAGTGGATTTGAACCCAAGGACAAGACCACTGTTCTCTGCACACCAGGTGCAGTGGCAGAAAAGGGCCCACTGCCTTTTCTCATTTGTTTGGCTTGCTACAGTCGCAACCTACCTGTTAGCATTTGTTAGCAACCTACCTCTTCCACCCTTTAGTTGCCTTGTCCCAGTCCCAGTAAGCACAGTAATAGGAGCCTCCGTTCCTGGTTCCTTGCCATTCCCTTTCTGTGTGCTCTGGCAAGCAGCCTTGCACGTTTGTTTCTCTACTGATTAATAACTTTGCCATACCTTAAAGGGGCTGTACGACTAGGGACCTGATTTGTGTAGAAAAGTCTGTATGTTAACTTTCAGTAAGTACTTCAAAGATATTTGTCTTTTAATATAGACAAACAAGAAAGTGGTATGTTATCCTGCTATCCCTTTATACTGTAACTTAATTCTTTGAATTCACCTGGTATCACTTTTCCAGGGAGCTCAAAGTACTTCCCATATGCTATCTCATTAATCTGTATGAATTAAAGCAGTGGCCAATGCCTACTTTTGTTGATAGCTCTCTTAACATATTTTTAAATTGTCCTTATTAGTAGAGATTTACTTTACATACTTTATCTGCCTGCAGCCTTCTTTTCAGAGCAATCTCAGTCTTCTGCATGACAATTCTAATGACATATAAGAGGAAAACAAACTTTGGACTCCCAAAGCAATATGCAGTAAAAGTGTTGCAATACTGGAATCAGTGTACAGGAATTTTTCCCCACTCAGTCACAGCTGCCCAGTTTTAACACTCAGAACACAGTTCTCTACCTTTATCTATTGTCAGGATTTGGTTAGTATCTAATAAATATAGTCCTTTTTCTTTGTCTTGACAATTCTGTAATTACGTAATGTCTTAAAACATCTTTTGACAAATATAATCCTTAAATAAAATTCTCTTAAATCTTAAATGATTTAGAATTCTTATATTTTCTGATGAAGAGTTAAATCCTCTGGCATGTTTCACATCTTGTCCTCACATCTGCTACTGGCCTTTATTTAATTGAATATTGTTCAGAGCTTGACATCATCATCCAGGTGGTATGAATAGGTAAAGAGCAGGGACTGTGTCCTCTGAGGGTAGAGACTGTGTCCTATTAGTTCAGAGAAAGAAAGAAGAAGAAAGATTCTGTCACTTTTCTTTTTTACTTTGTGTGTGTGTGAGAAAATATTTTAAGTAGAGGATTTTTAGATGTCTTTTTACTTTTTGAATAAATATTTAAAATTTTAGAATAGACTTAGATTTACAAAAAAATTCCCATATGTCCTTCACTCAGTTTCCCTTTTATTTACATCTGACATTAGTTTAGTATATTTGTCACAATTAATATTGATACATTATTATTAACTAAGCCCACACTTAGATTTCCTCAGTTTTTGCCTACTGTCTTTTTTTTTCTATTCAAAAATCCGCCTAAGAGATTACATTACATTGAGTCCATGTCTCATTAGGCTCTTCTAGATTGTGACAGTTCCCCCCTTTATTTTCTGTTAATAGCTGTGTACTGTGCTAGCCACTTTACATATGTTGTTTCAAATGATCCTCACAGTAACTGAGAGAAGTGGAATTAACTCTGTTTTGAAACAAAAAGGTTGGGTAGTTCGTCCAAGGTTGCATTATTTTATTTTTTATTTGGTAACATTTTAAAAATATTTTTAAAATTGATTTCATAAATGAAGGGAGAGGGAGAGAGAGAGAGAAACATCAATGATGAGAGAGAATCATTGATTGGCTGCCTCCTGCACACCCCCTACTGGGGATCGAGCCCACAACCCGGGTATACACCTTTGACCGGAATTGAACCTGGGACCTTTCAGTACACAGGCCAACGCTCTATCCATTGAGCCAAACCGGCTAGGGCAGATTGCATTATTTTAGTAAATGATGGAGCCAAGAATGGAACCCAAGTCTCTGGGATTTCAAAACCTATGCTCTTATTTTATGCTTTGTATTCACAGAACCTACCACTGTACCTACTGCATTAACACAAGTTTCCAAGTCTGAACCATATTTGATCAACCAAAAGTTTCTGAACTTTAGCACTATTGACATTTGCTTTGTTTTCGTGGCTGGCCCTGTGCATTATTGGATGTTTAGCAGCATCTCTGGACCCTCAACCCACTAGATGCCAGTAGCATCCCCCTACACAGCTTGTGACACCATAATGTCTCTTAGACGTTGTCAAATGTCTAGTGGGGAGTAAAATCACCCACTGTGAACCGCTGTGTGAACCCTTCTTTTAAAAAGTTGGTAATAATTTACAAGTATTGAATAACCAACTGTATTATGTGAAGCACTCTGTAAGTCATTTAAATAATTTGAGTCTCTGTAAACTATAAGGAAATTTGAAAGAAATAAGGCACCAGGTCACTATTCTTCAAATTTTGTGGAAACTGTTCTGGCCGGGTTTACTGGGTGGTTACAGTGTTGGCCCTCGGACTGAAGGGTCTTGGGTTGGATTCCCAGTCAAAGGCACATACTTCAGTTGCAAGGTGGTCGGGGCATGTGTGGTAGGCAACCAATCCATGTGTCTCTCTCACATGGATGTTTGATCTCTCTCCTCCCCCACCTCCCTCCCTCAACTCTCTCTTAAAAAAAAATAAATGGAAAAAATACCTTCGGGTGAGGATTAAAAAATAAAATTTTGTGGAAACTGCCTATGAGCTATCTGCATTTGGAGGGTGGTAAGGGGGTAGTTTAATGCCTGAAAATGAAATTATTACATGTTCATTTTTAGCATATTTTAGTAAATCTGTGTGTATGTTTATATTACATTGGGATCCAGTTTTATTTATTTTATTGGCTGATTTGAGAAACAAGCATTGATTTGTTGTTCTACCTATTTATGCATTTATTGGTTGCTTCTATTTTTTTAAACTAATTTTAGAGAGAGGAAGGAGGAGATAAAGAGAGAAACATCGATGTGAGAGCGAAACAAGATATGAAAGCCCTAGCCAGTTTCACTCAGTGATTAGAGCGTCGGCCCTCCGACTGAAGGGTCACAGGTTCAATTCTGGTACTTTGGTTGCAGGCTTGATCTTAGGCCCTGGTCAGGGCGCCTGTGGCAACCAATTTATGTTTCTCTCTACCTCTCCCTCTCCCTCTCCCTCTTAAAATCAATGGAGAAAAATATCCTTGGGTGAGGATTAACAATAACAACAAAAAAGATGTGAGAGAAAAACATTGATCGGCTGCCCCCCCCCCCCCCCATCTTTTGGTGTATTGGGCAATGCTCCAACCAACTGAACCACAATGGCCAGGACTTTTTTCTTCTTCTTCTTTTCTTTTTAATTTGAATTTTTTATTGTTGACACTATTGTAGATCTCCTATTTCCCCACCCTTGCCCACTTCCACCCAGCCCCCATCACCCCCTCCCTCAGCCCTCACCACACTATTTTCTGTGTCCTTGGGTTATGCACATATGTTCTTTAGCTAATCCCTTTATCTTCCTTTATCCAGTCCCCTCCACCCCACTCCCCTCTGACATTTGTCAGTCTGTTCCATGTATTCATTGGTTGCTTCTTGTATGTGTCCTGACAGGGATTGAACCTGCAACCTTGGCATATCAGAACAATGCTCTAACCAACTGAGCTACCTGGCCAGGGCCATGGGATCCAATTTTATAATGTGTATATTGATCTAAGGAGTTAACATAAACTCACTATTTCAATTATTATGTAAGTGTTTTAGTCCTTAAATAGGTTTTGCTAGCAGGACCACAGTTGATGCTGACTGCACAGATCATGGTTGATGTTGATTATCCCCTTGTAACTCTTGAGTAAGTGTCATTTCCTGACATGTCTGCCTTATGACTTGATTTTTAGGAACTATTATAGTAATAGCTTGATTATTTAGTGTGCATTTTTAGAAGTGAAGATGGTTATTTGTTGTATCACAAATACATATCAGAGTTCAGTATTAGAAGCTTAACTTTTATTGGTAATTCTTTTTGGTAGACTTCAAATACATAAAAGGGCAGGTCTTTGCTTTTGAAAAAAGGCTATTGTTTTCAAGCAAATAAAGGTGAGACTGCTTGAAAAATGAATATTAACTAGCCTAGATTTATATAGTGCTTAAAAACATGTGTAGTATGCTACAGATCTGATTTAAAACAATCTCTGAGCCTCTTGTTAGGCCACCTTCCAAAAAGCTTTTTATCTGATAGGGTAAAATTTTTTGTATGCTTCATTTCTTACTATGTTGTATTTGGAGCTCAATATCTACATCTAAATGGAGAGGTATAATTTCAGTCTCTAAAATCCTATAATCAGCAGTTTAGATCTGAAGCCAGCATTAAACATAGCATTCAACTCTTGTAGCACTATAATGGAGAAACCAAGAGGTAAACCTTTTATTCAGGGTGATTGCAGCTGGTCTTTGGACTCTTTGAATCTTTGGTAATGATGATTTTAGAACACATTTGACCAAACATAAATAAGGAAGCATCAAGATGTAAACAGTACCCTGGCTGGTTTGGCTTAGTGGATTGAGTATCGGCCTGCGGACTGAAGAGTCCCAGGTTCGATTCCGGTCAAGGGCACATGCCTGGGTTGTGGGCTCCATCCCCAGTGGGGGATGGGCAAGAGGCAGCTGATCAATGATTCTTTATCATCAATGATGTTTCTATCCCTCTTTCCCTCGCCCTTTTTCTCTAAAATCAATAAAAATATATTTTTTTAAAAAGTTGTAAACAGTGATAAATTTTAAAGAATTTTCCAACTCACATACGCATGAGTTTTGAGGATAAGCTAAAGCTTCAATTCTGGTTGCTGGGCTTACAAAGCATTCATTGTATACTTCTGATTTCTTGAATTCTGTTTAGAAATCACAATAATTCATCTTACTGGACATGGTCTGCTATACCAATGTTCATTTCAGCTATTAGATGGTGATAAATAAGAAGTTTTAAAATAGCATGTTGGGGAATCTGTGTTCAACTGGTGAAGTCAGTATTAAAAAAACAGGTTACCCTGGTGTGGGTTTTGACACATTTACTTGTTAGATCCAGGATATATTATGTATTAAAGTATCTGTATGAACATGAGCTAGTTTGGGTTTGTGGGTGGCAATGCTTGAGGGGAACTATCTCATTGTGCAAAGGTTGGGAATTAATGGCCAGTGAGAACAGAGGGGACCTGAAAGGGCTGAATTGTATCATGCCTAGAGACTCTGAAAAGATTGTGTGGCTCACAGGTGCCTACTATCCTGCTCTAACCTGTTCTTTAATCTTTTATACTGTGTTATTCAACCTGAAAAACTTCCTGATTTCCCATATTTAAGCAGCAAGTTAATATAAGGAAATTTATTATGTATTTCTTAATTCCCTTGTGCAGATTAGCCTTTTCCACGTCATTGAGGCTGTGTATTCCCTACCTCTCACCCACTTCCGTTGTCTTATTGATCTCAAATTAATAAGTGACTCAGCCTTATCTTTTAGAGTTTGTATGCCAACCTACTTGTAGCTCAGCTGACTTATGTGTTTCATCATTAATATTATCACTAAACCAGAAGTCTGTTTCACTGGTACTTAAAAGGCAATCTGATCTCTGCGAGATTGAATCTGGCTTATTTTCCATTCCTGTCTTACCCCTGTGTACTGTGGATAGGACATATTATAGAATTTATGATATCCTGCCTTATTTTAGGAGTGCTAACTACTAAGTGTTTTTAAATAACTTAGTTAAGGGTTCACAAATCTTAAAGTTGTGTATTTCGTTTCTCCTGATCTTATTGGCTCACTTAAAGGTCTTTCACTTAATCCAATTCTTCAATGAAAGTTAATGCTAAAACTATCTGGTGGCTTACTTTCCATTGAATTTATTGGGCCCTAGCCGTTTTCACTCAGTGGATAGAGCGTCAGCTTGTGGACTGAAGGGTCCTTGGTTCGATTCCGGTCAAGGGCACATGCACTGGTTGTAGGCTTGATCCCCAGTAGGGGGTGTGAAGGAGCCAGCCAATTAATGATAGTCTCTCATCATTGAAGTTTCTATCTCTCCCTTCCTCTCTGAAATCAATAAAAATATATTTAAAAAAATAAAAATATTTTTAAAAAGAATTTATTGGGGTGACATTGATTGGTGGCTTGCTTTAAT